TCTTCAGATCCTCGTATTTTGCGATGTTCTGTATTTGCCTTCTGCGCGATCTTGTCAGGGGCGGCACGCCCAGTTCGAGCTCCCGCCACAGCTTGGGCACCCCCATGTCGGTTCGCGTGGCCTTCGTGGCACGCGAGCTTTCTCGTGATCGTCTGGCTTCGGCACCATCTTGCATGATGAGGAGCCGTGATGGTCGTCAAGTAGCTTGGTGCCCTCCGCCAAGCGCTGCTGCAGCCTCTCATTGTCCTTGCCAGCCCAATCCGCCAGGAGCAGCCGCGCCCGCTGGCGATCGCGGCGGCCGCGATGGTTGAAGGCCGATTCGCTCGGAATTGCGCTAGTCTCAGCGCGAGAATTCGCGCCAGCCTGACTGGGACACCCAGGGCTCTCGGGCCAAAACTAGGAGGAGGAGGAGGAGGAGGAGGAGGAGGATGAGGAGGAGGGGGAGGAGGAGGAGGAGGAGGAGGAGGAGGAGGAGGAGGAGGAGGAAGCAGAAGCAGACGAAGCAGAATAATACTAACAAGAAGAAGAGGAAGAAGAAGAAGAAGAAGAAGAAGAGGCGGAGGAGGAGGAGGAGGAGGAGGAGGAGGAGGAGGAGGGGGGAGTAGGAGGGGGAGCAGGAGGTCAGGTCAGGTCAGGTCAGGCGTTCCTCGAAAGCTCCCCGTGAGAAGACTACCAGGGGGGGAGAGGCACATAAGCCACAGCCCAGAGGCCCAAGTGTGGGCCAGCAGAGAAAAACTCAGAAGGGCACATAAGCCAGCAGTATGGGTAAACACAACAACTGTTTTACCCCAGTCCCCTCCTCCTCCTCGGTAAACCATCTGTGCAGATCATTTTGCACAAGGAAGGGCTCCTTTGTCTATTCATGCAACACATTAGAGAAGAGGCCAGCAAGCTGAATTGGGACGCGCCTACGCTCTCTGGAGCGGGCCCGCCTCCTCCTCCTCAAGGCCTCAGCTCTGTTAGCCGCGATCCTCTCACGAACGTCCGAGGGAAGAGGCAGGGGCGGAGGCGGGGGAGGGACAGAATCCGAGGAGGGTGGGCACTCTCCAAAGGCGACAAACGACGCCCCCCCAGCTGCGAACCCACGCATCGCAACCGAGTGGGTGCCTTCCAGCTCCTCCTCCTCATTCGGGCTCCCCGGGCCTTGGTCTGGTCTGGGCACAGCTGAAGCGCGAGCCAGAGCAGACACGGGCTTGGGGACGGCTGGAGGCACAGCAAACTCGGGCCCCATAGCGGGCGCATTTAGGGCAACGTTGTTAGAGCCAACGAAGAAACGGAACAACTATTTAGCTTCATTGGCTTCCTCGGAACCTTCCAAGACAGCCGACTGCCCCAAAAGCGAGGGAAGAATAGCCTTCAACATCGCATTGGCTAGACCAGTACAAAGTTCAGGCGGGTACACTTTTTGGGGGGCCGTCCTCCACTTTTTGAAAACAGGATCCCACCCTACCATGGCTGAATGTGCACGCGCGCCATGAGAGCAGTAACCTCCACCTGGGGTGCTACGCAACAGCGCTGGGAGCTCGGGAGACGAATGCCTAAAGGGCAGTGGGGGCCCTCCCGCTTTGGCCAAACTCATACTGATCAGACGTGGTGAAAGCCGAGCATGGAGCAGCCATGAGGGCCTTGAGGAGGAGGAGGAGAAGGCTCCACGAAGGCACCGAGCGGGGCTCCCAAGACGGGGGGGGCGGATGCCCCGTCCACGCACACCCCCGCGCCACTGTCATGATGCACAATAGATCGACCATGGACTGTAGCAAATCATTGGAGACAGCAACTTGAGTCTGTTGTCTGGGCGTGAGCTCCGTCACTCCCCACGGGGCTTGCCATGTCCTCAGAGGAGGGGGGAGCCCTCTCTCCAACGTGCAGCACAGAACGTTTCACAAGGTGCCCCCCCTGCTAGCGCAATGATGCGCCCCGCACGAATGTGTGCGGAAAAACATTCGATGGAACTACTTTCTCTTAGATCACCGAGGTCGGCATCCAGCAGGATCTCCACAGATAAAACGACCAACTCAAAGGAAGGGGTGTAGGTCGCCATGGCCAGCTCAATGGCCTCTTGAACATCTCCAGATCTTCGCTGCCCACAAAAGAGGTTGGCAACAAACACCTGTCTTCGCAAACTGCGCCTAGGGACCTGGACACACAGGATGCTAGAAAAATCTGAGGCCTCAAACGGCCACCCGATTTCAGATGGTTTGGGATCCCATGCAACCTCAGGCTCATCCAAGGAGGAGGAGGAGGAGGAGGAGGAGGAGGAGGAGGAGGGGGAGGGGGAGGAGGGAGAGGGGGAGGAGGAGGAGGTGGGCGCATTTGAAGTGCCGCGCCCTTTGCCGCCAGCACCCCAAGGCGAGACAATCAGGAATTGGTGGGGGGATGTCTTGGATCTCGTGGCCTGAGCCTTTTGCGAACAGTAACATGTGCTGCGCTCTTCGAGTCTTTTCGGGATGTTCGTCACTGTCCTCCTCCCCTTCACTTTCTCCGTCTGCTCCCCCTCCCCCACTTGGAGGTCCTTGGAGGTCCCGGGAATTCTCTGGAGGCCTTCGGAGGTCCGCGGAGGATTCTGGAGGGCCGAAGTGGGCCAAACAAATACAAAACGGCCAAATGGGGCCAGCGGACCCTTGAATTCTGTGCATGCTGTTGCGGCTCTGGTGCAGCGCTTCTGAGGCGCACGGGGGTCCTTTCACACCACCGCCCTTGCGCATCTTGAGCGCTCCCACTCTGATGCCCTCAGCAATGCAGCCGCAGTACCTTCCAGAGGCACGCTCAACAGCTCGCGCCCTTGTCGTCGAGGAACCCACTGTGTGTGGCCAGCATCAGCTCAGTTTGACATCCATGAACGGACGCTCTTGTCTTTGCCATAGTCGGCGCGCACGGAAGGAAGCTTGCTGCGCTGTTTCACCCATAGCATTTTTTTGTTTGCCGCGGCCACGGTGCCTTCGGAGGGATGTTCAGCTCGCGCTGCTCAGCGGCTCGCAGGGAGGGGTGGCTGGGAAGGAGAGAGGGAGGGAGGGAGGGAGGGAGGTTGACTTTCCCGCCAGCGCTGTGAATCCATGACCACAATACCACCTTTTAAGTTCTAGCGCCCCAGCGCTACCGCCGTGTGACGCCTTGTGGGCGGCACCAGCGCTTGCTTCACGGTAGCGATATGTTCCACGCGTTGTTTTGGTTGGGATGTGGAGTTCTTGCTCATCGCCATGTGTTACTGTGTTACTGTACCTTGACCTTGGCAAAAACGTAGAGTGGCATGGGCAGGGCCGGAGAGGGAGGGGGGGCTGGGACGGCGGCGACAGTTGTATAGTGCTACGCTTCGATGGGGGAGGGGAGCGGGGTGCGGGCGAGGGAAAGATAGGAGAAGGGGGGATAATATTTATGCGCTCGCGCCATGTCTGACCTCAAACTCCTCCCTCCTATCCTCTACCATGGAGTTGATCCCTCTCCTATTTACAGAGTAGAATGTCGAAGAAGATGTGGATCCCGAACGGGCCATTTTGTCTTGAAACGCGGCAAACGCTAAAGCGGGAACACCTTTTTTGCCGATGCAAACAGGACGGCCAGCGCTGCGGCGAGAGCGTCGTTCCGTGGGACGGATGGAGACTTGATGAACATCTCTACAGTGGCAAACGCTGCAACGGTAACTGTTCCTGAACCGGTGCAAAAGTACGGCCAGTGCTGCTGGGGAGAGCGTCGTTTCATTGTACGGAAGTTCAAGGGAACATTCAACGTGACAAAGGCTTCAGCGGGAACTGATGTCAAAATACGGGAAGCGACGTGTGAACGCGACGATCCGTTGGACGGAGGTTTCTGTGGAAATCTTTAACTGTGGCCAACTTAGAACCAGAACGCTTTTTAGAGGGTTCGCCGTGACGAGCCGAGAGCCGCGGATTTATCTTGCAGGGAGGGGGACGGCAGGGAAGGCAGGGAGGGAAGGAGGGAGGGAGAGCAGGAGGATGAGGAGGAGGAGGAGGGCTGGCATGGAAAGATGACGATGACGATGACGATGACGATGACGATGATGATGATGATGATGATGATGATGCTGATGATGATGATGATGATGACGACGATGATGATGATGATGATGATGATGATGATGATGATGATGATGATGATGACGATGACGATGACGATGACGACGGATGATGATGAGGAGGATGATGATGCTGCTGATGATGATGGTGATGATAACGATAATGCTGACGTTGATGCTGATGCTGCTGATGCTGCTGCAGATGACGACGATGATGATGATGATGATGATGATGATGATCATGACGATGACGATGATGATGATGATGATGATGATGATGATGATGATGATGATGATGATGATGATGGATGATGATGACGATGAGGAGGAGGAGGAGGAGGAGGAGGAGGAGGAGGAGGGAGGAGGAGGAGGAGGAGGAGGAGGAGGAGGAGGAGGAGGAGGAGGAGGAGGATGTTGTTGTTCGAGATGCCGCTCGGCTGAGAACCCTCACAACAGGTTGGAGCAATGAGAGATAGTTCGCTCCTTGCAGATTGGACTACGTAGGTGCTCTGCATTGGGAATTGCGCCCCTCCCACAAAAGCGCCAGTCGACCCTTTGACGTTCGCGGGCTAGCGCCATTCCATGGTTCATTTAGCATGCCTGTCTCTTTAATCTGAGCCAAACTTTGAAGACGAATGTGCGCGGCGCTTAGGCGAGGGCCACATTTTGAAAACGAGCCGCCCTCTAGTCTGGCAATTGTTGCAAATGTTTAAGCTTCAGGGTTCTAAATGGTGAGGAAGTCTCATGCGAAACGCCTGGCCTGCTCTACCGACACGTCTGGATGTGCGACAGGGGTGAGTTATTTATAAGGAAGAGGGGAGGAGGAGGAGGAGGAGGAGCAGGAGGAGGAGGAGCAGCAGCAGCAGCAGGAGCAGCAGCAGCAGCAGCAGCAGCAGCAGCACCAGCGGCAGCAGCAGCAGCAGCATCAGCAGCAGGACGGGGCGGTCTGCACCCTGCCCGCTCCCGCGAGGTGCCGTCGCCCACGGTGCTGCCAGAGCCGACCTCCCCGACGGAGGTTCCGTCTTCGCGGCTCGCTGTCGTCGTCATCGCCGCCAGAGCCCCCGCCGTCGTCGTCACCATTCCCCCTCCATCGCTTTGCCCTCTCCCCCTTACCCTGATGATGATGGTGATGATGATGATGCTAATGATGCTGCTGATGCTGCTGCTGATGCTGATGATGGTCGTGGTGGTGGTGGGGATGATCATGATGATGATGATGCTGATGATGACGATGACGATGATGACGACGACGACGACGACGATGATGATGATGATGATGATGATGATGATGATGATGTCGATGATGATGACGATGGCAACGACGACGACGATTGCGGTGACGATGGCGACGATGACAATGCTGTTGATGATGGTGATGATGCTGATGATGATGATGCTGATGATGCTGATGCTGCTGATGATGGTGGTGGTGGTGGTGGTAAAGATGATGCTGCTGATGATGACGATGCCGATGACGATGACGACGTTGATGCTGATGACGATGATGATGGCGATGAGGATAGGAGGATGATGATTATGCTGCTGATGATGATGATGATGATGAGAACGATGATGCTGATGTTGATGTTGACGATGATGATGATGATGATGATGATGATGATGATGATGACGACTACGATTACGGTGACGATGGCGACAATGACAATGATGATGACGATGTCGACGATGCTGATCATGACGATGATGATGATGATGATGCTTCTGATGATGATGATTATGATGATGGCGACGACGACGACGATGACGGTGACGATGGTGACGATGACAGTAATGACGGTGGTGCTGCCGAGTATGATAATGATGATGATAATGATGTTGTTGGTGGTGGAGGAGATGATCATGACGATGATGATGATGACGATGACGATGACAACGATGATGATGTTGATGATGCTGATGCTGATGACGACGACTACGATCACGGTGACGAAGGCGACGATGACAATGTTGATGATAATGTTGACGAGGATGATGATGATGATGATGATGATGATGATGATGATGATGATGATGATACTGATACTGATTACGATGATGATGATGATGATGATGGTGGTGGTGGTGGGGGGGGGTGATCATGATGATGATGACGATGACGATGACGACGATGCTGATGACGATGATGAAGATGATATTGATGATGATGCTGATGATGATGATGATGGTGATGATGATGATGGCGACGATGACGACGATTCCAGTGACGATGGCGACGATGACAGTGATGATGATGAAGATGATGATGATGATCACGACAATGACGATAACGATGATGATGATGTTGATGACGAGGATGGCGATAACGATGACGACGATGATGATGACGATGATGATGATCATGATGACGATGACAATGACGATGACGATGACGACGATGATGATAATGACGACGACGACGACGATGATGATGATGATGGCGACGCCGACGTCGATTACGGTGGCAACGGTGACGATAATAATGATGATGATGATCACGATGATGATGACAATGATTATGATGATGATGATTATGATGATGATGATGATGATGATGATGATGATGATGATGATGACAATGATGTTGATGACGATGATGTCGATGACGATGACGACGGTGACGACGATTACAATGTTGATGATGCTGCTGCTGCTGCTGATGATGATGGTGGTGATGAATACGATGATGATGATGATGATGATGATGATGATGATGACGATGATGATGATGATGATGATGATGGTGGTGGTGGTGGTGTGGTGATGGTGATGATGATGGCGGTGGTGATGATGATGCTGCTGCGGCTGATGACGATGACGATGATGTTGATGATAATGATGAAGATGATGATAATGATGATGATTGGTATTGCCATTCGTATTCTTATTATTATGCGTATTCTTATTCTTACATTGTTTTGCGTAGTTTTAATAATGTTCTTACGTGTTATAATGCGTGTGATGATGATGGTTGTGGTGACGATGATACTGTTGCTGCTGCCTTCCTTTCTCTTCTCCCTCCAGTCTCTTCTGCCTCCTCGTTCTCTGGTCCTCCCCTTCTCCCTCTCAACGCGCCCCCTCTTGATCCCCTCTGCTCCCCCTCCCCACCCCCGCCGACTTTCTCGCTTCCCCTCCCTCGGCTGCACCTCTCCCACCCGGCCCCCCTTCCCGAAGGTAATGGCAATGATACCGAGGAGGAGACGTGATGATGATAATGATGATGATGACGATGACGATGATGATGATGATGATGATGATGATGATGATGATGATGATGATGATGATGATGATGATAATGTTGATAATGCTGATGATGATGATGAGGATACTGATGATGAGGATACTGATGATGGTTATGCTGCTGCTGATGCTGATGATGATGATGCGGATGCTGATTATGATGTTGCTGATGCTGAGGATGACGATGAGGATGAGGATGAGGAGGATGACGATGAGGATGCTGCTGATGCTGATGATGATGATGAAGATGACGACGAAGACGACCACGACGACGACGATGATGATGCTGATGAGGATGAGGATGAGGATGAGGATGATCGTGAGGATGATACTGCTGATGATAATGATGATGATGATGATGAAGATGATTATGATGATGATGATGATGATGATGATGATGATGATGATGATGATGATGATGATGATGATGATGATGATGATGATGATGATGATAATGATGATGAAGGTGATGGTGATGGTGATGGTGATGATGATGTTGATAATGTTGTTGATGACCGAGGAGGCCCCCACGAAGCTCCCAGGAAGCCCTAAGGAGGCCCGAATAGGGTCACAGGAGGCCTCGCTTTCCTCATTTCCCCCTCCGCCTCCTCCTCCGCCTGCGACTCCTACTCGAACTGTACCTTTCTATACCCAGCCTGGCAGTGTATCTGTTTGCCTTGCCTCTCTTTCCCGTTTCAGGCCTGCGCCCTTTGGTTGCCCTCGCCGCCATGTTTGACTCAGGGTAGCTATCGGCCGTGCCCGTTTTTATCCGCGCGTCAGCCGTGTGATGTCCTTGCATTTTATTTTGCGGAAAAGTGCCCCTTTCAATCTTGATCTTTTATTCTCAGTTGGTAGCGGAGGTTCGGATTTGCGATCCATTGCGCCATGGCCCGCGTAGCGCTCTTCTCTTCTTGCCCCGCATCGACTGCGAAGGCATCCCGCCCTCCCCGTGTTCGAGCTCTCCGAATTCTCCGTGTTCAATCATCCAGCCCGCCTGCTCGATGGACCGTTTTCGTGATGTTCTCCCCGTACCTTGTGACGGGGGAACCGCGCATGCACCACTGCGAACACATCAACTCCAATGATCGCGCCGCCGCGCCTCCCCCCAAGGCGCCTTCTCCCGGGCTTGCGCAGACTATGTCTGCGCAGCTCGCGGACCCGACGCCCTCAATGCATTCGCCTGTGAATGTAAGCTCCACTGTCAGACAGTTGGTTGACACAGAGTTCACATCGACGGCGTTGGCGAAGGGTCCCGAGCTTCCTGTCACTATGTTGCAAGAGCCCTGGGAGAAGGTGGCAACAGACACGACGCCACCAATGCATCCGCCTGTGGATGTAGCCGAAGGTGTCCGACAGGATCGATAAGACGTTCGTATTTCGGTCTTGGCTAAGCGTCCTGAGTTTCTGGCGACTATGTTTCCAGAGCCGGGGGGGACTCAGGCAGAGAAGAGCGAGAAGGCAATGGAGGGTTAGGCGACTATGCTGACAGCATTCTGGGGGACCACAAAACGAATCTGGGACTATACGTTTTCGATCCCGTGGAACATGACCTTCCACACTACTTATGCATTCCCTGCTACCTGGCAGACCTGGGTCCCAAGGCATACTAGTCTTAACTATCGTACAGTTGATTGTGCCCAGTGCAGTGACGACGTGGCGCACGATGAGCATTCCCATGACTATGTTGTGGGATGCTCCGAGTGCCGATCGCACCACGACCACGCGACAGAAGAGCATGCCCACTACGCCGACGAGGAGGAGCAGACCCGGGATAGGTACCCACGACGGCTTCGAGGCTCTCTACCCGAGCGGCGCCGCTGGTGGGCTCCAGGATTCCAGCGCCCCCTCGATGCATGGAGGGGACTCCACTCCGGATGGAAGGCCATCGTAGTGGGCATGGTCGCTGCAACCATCTGCATCGTTTGCATGAATGCTGGCGGCGCGTTAGCGGCAACATGCGACGCTTCCGCACCTGGGGGCCCGAGCAGCAGGCTCGCGTGTCGTTCCAGCGCGGGGTGCGAGATGTCATGATTTGGTCAGTGGCGAACTCCGACTTCCACGAGTACCGCCAAGCGGCCTACGTCTCGTCTTGCCTCGCTGGCATGGCGCGCGAGTGCGTGGACGAGAGGCCGCCAGCTGTCTTGATCCAGAGAGGTCACATCCACGGCAACCCAGTGTCGCCCGTGATTTTCTTCTTGCACGGCCCAGCCAAACGGCGAGGGGGGGGCGCGCTCGAGTGGCAACGGCCAGGATGAACGTCAACCGACTGCCGCAGGAACGCATTCGCCAACCTCCGCACCAGTTTTGACATCTTCCGCGACGGAGCGCAACAGGCTGGTCAAATCATGATCGGCTGCGAGGGCCCAGCTACCCCGTGCTGCGCGGGGTAGGCGCATCGAATATGCCATTCGCCATGATTTTGCAGCAATGTGGCCTGCCCGACGAAAGCGCGGCAGCTGTCACGCATGATTGGCCAGGTGCGACGGTTTAGTCGCATGGTCGAGGGTTCGCCGGGCAACTTCGCCTCGGCCGTCTGCTCGACCCAACGCCGCGCTATCCTCGCGGACGCGACGCCGTCGCGATGTCGCAGCTTCGACAGCCGCAGGCCCGCGCGCCGCGCGCGGATGGTCATCGCATGCAAGGGCAAAGGCCAGCCACCGCGCCTGCCTGGCCGATTTGTTCGATTATGACTTCCGAGAAGCTTTCGCTGGCTTCGAGGAGGGCACGGGCACAGGGAAAGACCAGCGGCATGTGTTCAGTCCGCCAAGGCAACACGCC